AACATAGATTTGCAAGCTGAACTGGAGTGGGAAGGCGACTGGGACTACCCTCATGCATGTATGTAGATTTGAGAAGTTATTTCTGCATATGTGTATCTGTGCTGCTAATACATTTATAAATACAATACAGCATTCAGGAGGCAAAGTAATGTTTGGTTGTTTTTTTTTTTTTACCATTATCCAAATACCTTGAAGAAATGAGTTTCCAGGCCCGGAGGCTGAGGATGATAGTCTTGGGGAGAGGGAAGAGAAGAAGATCAATTGACATAATAATCCACAAAGACAAGTTCTTCCATCTGCTTGAGTGAGAAGTGACTGGAGCCTTAAAGCTTGTAAGTGGCCTTCTAAGGTACGACTGTCTGTATTTCTCATTGAGAGAAAAAAAAAAGAATGAAAGACTTATGGGTCAAGTGAATCCCCGTCTCCATCACCCGAATATCAGAAGATCTAAATGCCTGGCTGCTATCATTCTGAAAGCATCACAAGAGGAAGTCCTGAACAGAGTGGGAGGAAAACATGGAATTAAACTAAAAATCATAAAAAACCCCCAGACCTGGCTTACTGGTCTGATAGAGACACATGAAATCCCCAAGACTACGGCCCTGAGACAAATACTGTCCCAGAACTGGATCCACTCCCATGTTTCATTCAGCCAAATGATGGCCGGTAGTTTAAGGCAAACACCGCCAAGGAGATACATATTCATTAAAACAACCAACTATATTTTAGATCAAAAGGGCAGCATTTGCTGAGGGATAAAGTTCAAAAGGTAGGAAAGGCTTAGAAAGGACAAAGGGAAATGATACACACAGGGAGGAAGGGGGAAGTGTTGCTACATAGCAGAGATTGGGATCAATGTCACAAAATAAATGCACATCAGTTGTTAAATGGAAGGCAATTTATACTATAATCTTTTATTGAAATCTTACACATATGGAGAAGTCTAGAGTAGGTAGTTCAGGTTGAACTCAGTGATATTGAGGTGATATTTTGGTTGTTTGTCATTGTATAACAAACCGTCCCAACACTTGGTGGCTTAAAATATCGATTTATTGCCTCTTATTGTTCTGTGGATAGATGGAACTCAGATGGTGG